CCCAAGCTCCCGGCGCGGCCGAAGTTATGGGAAGCTGCACGGCTCACCAAGGCTACGGCTCCCCGATGCTTCTCGGAGCCAAGGAGCTGCCTCGACCACTGGCGCCGCCGAAAGAGTCGGGACTGCCCCCTGACGGTCGAAAGCTCCGGGTCCCGCCGGGACTGCGGCCTGCGCCCCAGAGGCCGGGCTCCCCAGAGTGCAGAGCATGGGGCGGCCGGGCAGGACTCCCCCCTCCGCCTGCCCAGACCCCCGCAAGGATAGTATCCCCGGCCCAGGAGGTCTCCGGCATCCTCGCAGGGCACCGAAGCCGAGTCCTAGACCACAGGATGGCACCGATAGCCGACGGATGATACTAGATGGTTCAGAGAGACACTCACCGGCACGGAAAGATGGCGGAAAGAAGTTGGGCGGGGCGAGTGCACGGAATTATGGGAAGCGGTCGGGCTATCGCGAGACTTTCAAAGGACCGCCAAAAACAAAAAAAATTAAAAAATGAATTGCCTAGTAGGAGGAGGCGGGTGAGGGGCGGAACCTCCTCAGGGGTGGGCAGTAGAGAGTCGATGGAGTCGAACACCCAGGCGAGGCCCTGGGGAGCTAGCCGGTGGAGGTGCGGCGTTAGCACAGGTTCGACTCCCTTCTAGCATCTAATCCGTAAAAGTCAAAAACACACAAGGGCCTAGATATTTGCAAATTTTTATTGCAGTAACTGTTCACCATTTAGAATTAATTTTGATACTTGCGTATTTACAGTATCTCTAGAAGGACCCACAAGAAACCGGTAAATGCCTCTGGGAAGGGCGTTAGGAACTGGGATGGAAGACTTGCTTTTCTCCCAGTACAATTTAGTTTTGTTTTTTGAAACATGTATAGATTACTTTTTCATACAGTCAAAAATATATTTTTTAATCGGTACTTCCTTTTTGACTCTCCCTAAATATTAGAAATTATTTACTGGAGTTCCAGGCTTTGCTTTTGAGTTCTGAGATACACAGTTTGGAAGAAAGCCACAAATGTTTCAAAATAAACGCTCAGCCTCTTAAGCGCTTTCAAAATAAACGCTCAGCCATCTCAAATCCCAGGTGAACAGATGAGATAATGGTGACAAAGGGCTCGCAAAATGTCTGGCACGTAGTAAATAAATGCTCAGTAGGTACGGCTTGAAGCCCGGGGTCTGACGGCCTGGGAGGGAGTGAATTCTGGCTCCGCCCTCTCCGGAGCTGAGTAACCTCAGGCTAGATACCCAACATCTGAAACTTCTGCCATAGACTTCTTTCCTCTCTGCTGTCACCCTTACCCTCCCTTCTTACCCTTCCTTGTGTTTCCCACTTGGCCGCCACAATGATCGTTTTAAAACTTAAGTCAGACCTTGCACTCTCCAAGGGTTCCTAGCACCCTCAGTAAAATCCAAATTCCTTACCAAAACCAAGGTCCTCCCTGACGTGCACACCTGCCTCGTTGCCTAGGAACATCATCTCCCCAACTTTCGCCCCTGGCTTGCTTTTCTTCAGATACACCAAGCATACTCTGCCTCAAGGCCTTTGCATTTGCTTTTCCCTTTAACTTGAGTATTCCTCCCCCCGTTTATCCCAAGACTTGCTCCCCACTCCCTTTCCTCAGGTCTCTATTCAATCACACACTCATACAACCTTCTCCCCATTCCCCCCAACCCCACTGCCCTGCTTAACTTTTCTCCATGGCACTTACCACCTGAAATATTGGAAGTGTATTTATCGTCTGTCTCCATTAAGTAAGCAGGGATTTGGTTGGTTTTGTTCACCGCTGTACCCACAGCTTCTAGAAAAGTCATCTGGTACATAGTAGGCGGTTGATACGTATTTGATGAATAAATGAATGGGCAAATCAGTTTCCCCATTTGCAAAATGGGGATGATACACCAATCAGTTGAAGTTGCTATGAGAGTAAATGAAATAATCCAGGTAAAAGAGACACATAAAACCCAGGAGCCTGCGTGCTCAGTCAGCGTGTGATTAGCATCACAGCCCACCTCCCCCATCCCCAATGCTTCTCAAATCTCAGGTGAACATTGAGGAGAACCAAGCTCCCAGTTTGAATATCTCAGGGATATAGAAATCTCTGGTTGTAACTTACACTTACAAAAGGACATTTGCTTTTCTAACGAACATTTCCTTTAAGAACTGGTTACCTGTACACTTAACAACACATTCTGTTGACTAAAAATGTGGTGCTCACCTTGAGGGCCTTAGCAACAGTGGGAAGGTAAGTGAATAAATCCACTTTCCTTCAAGAGCCTTACCATAAATAGAAAATTAATACCACCCACTATCTCTTTATACACTTCATTCATTCATTCATCCCTTCATTCAGGAAATACCTAATGAGTGCCTACCATGTGTTGTACCAGGTGAGAGGACAAAAATGTCAGTTCTTGCCCTTAAGAGGCACAGATCCTAGCAGAGACAGATCTCTAAATAACAGCACAATACTGGGCAGTGTGCCATATAGGATGCCAATATGAAGTGCTGTGAGAACGGAGAGGTGGCCTGGAAAGTTGCTAAAGCTTTCACAGAGGAAGCGCCGTTTGATCTGTGTCGTGAAGGGTGCTAACAACTACTAATTCCTAACTGCCACTAAGTGCCTCCTGTAGATTAAGTGAATCCTCAAAACAACACGTGCAATTACATAATGTCCCTGTGAGATCTGTACTATTATCTCCACTTCACAAATGAGGGAGCAAACTAAATTCAATCTTAACTCAGTCTCCAAATTTTGCTGTAGGTTAAAAAATCAAAACAAAAAAGTGGTCACTTATAACTTGTCTAAGCTACTAAATTACTTGTGGGGTTTTGGGATCCTGAAACGTTAGGAAGGGTGTGTGGCCTATAGATATTAAGAGCTAGGAGGGCATATAAAGATGGACAGAAATCTCAGAATGGTTGGGTTGGAACTGGGAAAAGGGTAGAAGGGTGGAAATGGAGCGGGAGGGCCATGTATAAATTGCCTCTTGTCATCCTGTGAATTCTGAAATGATAGGACCTCTGCCAGAGGTGGTGCAAAGGCAAGAGTTGAAAGGGGACCTGTGCTGTGGCCAGAGCTAGCACAGGAGTAGCCAAGTTGGCCTGGGGAGTAATCATAGCTGCATGTGGAAGACCAGCATTTCAGAGCATCCAGTGACCAGGAGGAAACCTATGGTGACTGGGTTGAGACTTCCCTGTTCTGGACATCATCAAGCCCCCAGGAGGCTCCAAGGAAGGATCCATACGTTTTGGGGAGAGGGGGAGCAAAGAGATTTAATTTGACATTGAATCTGTTCCCAGGATCCACTACGTATAGATAGTAAGGCCTAATGATAAAATATCCAACTGGAGCTCTTTTTTTTTTTTTTGCGGTATGCGGGCCTCTCACTGTTGTGGCCTCTCCCGTTGCGGAGCACAGGCTCCGGACGCACAGGCCCAGCTGCTCCGTGCCATGTGGGATCCTCCCGGACCGGGGCACGAACCCGCATCCCCTGCATCAGCAGGCGGGCTCCCAACCACTGCGCCACTGGGGAAGCCCTGGGGCTCTATTTTCTTAAAAATTCTACGTGCAGACAAAAGTCACCCACCAATTATTTACTGAGCAGCTCAGGTACTGAATTCTGAGCTAGGCCCTAGGGTACAGAGGTGCCTTGGCAGGCACTCTCTCCTGCATGGCTCCCTGCCTATTCTTCCAACCAGGCCCTCTCACATATCACCTTTGGCCATCAGTTATTCATTGTATCTCCTTTTCCATCTAGGGTGGTGCCTGGATGTTTACTGAATGGATAAATTTAAACCTTTTATTTCATTTTATTCTTAAAGAGCACCTTATAGGCATGTAATGATCACACAGGGTAGTTCATTAATTGGGTACATAAATCCAATCATGTAAACTGGCTAAGCTATAAAGAAAGGACACAAGGAGGGATTCCAGTTTTATTTTTCCCCTTTTACACAAAACAAAGTAGAAGAAATAATACAGGATTAAAACTGCAAAAGTAGTTAATTGGTAGAACACACATACACACAAAAATCTAGGAAGACAAGCTTATTTACAATGAGGAAACACATGTAAATTACGGTAGTTTGTATACGAAACATTAAAAAAAGAAAAGTCAAACATATGCTACATGGGTGCCACTGTTTACAGCAATATTGAAGGAGAGAAAACAACACTTATTTAGGAACAGATATACCACAAGGTCCAGGTTTTACAGCATCAGTGCAATAAATTCACAAAACTATATTACAGCTAGTTAATCAGTTTAAGAATTGTTCCCAAATATGTCACATTTCCAGCCCTCAGAGGTTCATTCCTACAGATTTCAACTACTCCATCTATGGGGACCAAAAGCAGCCAGTGTTACCATAAAATGAGAATCTTGAGGCTTATCTTTAAAGGCTTATTCTGGTCTTGAAAAACTAGTACGATTTTCTACTGAAATGAATCTTGACTAAACACAGGATGAGTTTTGTTCTTTATTGGCTGGTCTTGGAGTGAAGGTCATAGACATGACTCTTAACCTATTATGTACTTTAGTTTCATTTAGCTGAAAATCTGAAATCAAAAGAATGCTAAAAATCCTAAATACCATCTTGCGTAAGCCTGCTACTAAAAAGCACTTAAGGATGTACTAACTTCAAGTTTAAGTGCACGGGAACAAGAGTTCTAAGCCTGTCAGATTACCCATTTGGGAGGGAGGATCAATGCTTCCAACAAATTGCTAAATTCTGCACAAGGGAGAAGCCAACACATACTAGGCCATGGAATTACTTTCATTTTATTCCACGAGGATTCCTCTCCCACGGTATCGAAACAGAATGAGGAATGAATCTTAACTGGTCTCTTCATCAGAAGTGGTAAACTTGGTTTCTGTATTCACGAAGCCAGACAGCTGTTTAAGCAGAGTGTGGAAGCAGACAGTAGAGCCAACTTCCTGTAGGCACAGACCACGATCTCGTATCCAGCTAAAGCAAAGATCAACTTGAACAGTTATCCCAGGCCACTGTTAACTGTACTAAAGGATGAAGTTCACCACTATATTATTTTAAAAGTAAGAGTTCAGTTAACCCTGGGTGAGAAAAACCAAGACAAGTGGTAATGATGAATGAGTTGTCCTTATAAGGCCAGCGGATGACGGCACACCCATGAAGACACTGGGCATAAAGCCTTACTTGGCAAGTCAGAATTTCTACTAACTAAGGGCAGAACGAGGGACAGCAAAGAGCTACATCTGTAACATTTTAGTATCCAGACAGCATAACAGACACTGTCCCCAGTGACAATGTATACACCATTAATCACACTGCATAAAGCAGATGTATTATTCATTTTTCTTTTCTTTTTGTTTGAGAAGCTTGTTTATCTCTCTTTTGGCCATTCCAATGTACTTCGAAATGATTCCATGTTGGTTTAGTCCAGGAAGCAAGAGTAAGAAAGTCACTTAAAATTAAAAACAAAAACAAAACAAAATTACAAAGGCAGCAATTAACTTCCCAAAGATTCTAACATTTTATAGAAGGTAGTTCTATACACACTCTATTACACACTCAAATGGGAGGAAGTAACATGAAATCCATTATTTCCATTGGTATTTATCCCCAGACGCTTCTGCTTCATACCTCCCAACCTCAGATAAGACACACTGCTTATTTTTACCTCTTGCACATTACTTTCTACCTTGGTTATTAGTTCTTTGTCTTAACTTCCGATAAGACTACAAACTGACTGAAAACAAGGACCTGGGATTTAGTCATCTTTCCATACTCACACAGTTCCTTAATCACTGCCTGGAACTCAGGGAGCAGGAACATATTGCTTACTAAATTCCAGTTAGGCTTTACTGGCCAGGATGTGCCTGCAGTTTTTCCTCAAAGACTTACCTATCAGGTAGGTGAGAAGGAGGTTGTGGACTTGCTGTCCCACCCAAGCAACCGCAGCAAGAGAAATGATCATGGTCATGAAGTACTAATAATGAAAATAACAAGAATTTATCAACTCCTAGAAACAGACTAAGAAGCGAAACTTTAGGAGGTTGTTTCAAAGATTGGAAAATAACTCCGTTTTTATTCCCACTTTTCTTTAAAAATATTTAGCATCTATATATTATATAAAACCCATAGAAAACTCCCTAGGTCTCCTTTATAGAATTTACATACATTCTCTCCTAGAATAACTATAATTCTGTATGTAAATTAAGTAGTTTGTAAGTTAACTACTTTTGCAATTAATAACTTCACATAGTAACCTCAAGTGAAGCTAAGAGAAAAGAGAACAAATGCTTCCTAAGTACATGTCTTTTACATTTATTTCAGTAAATAAAAGAGAAACAAAAAATTCACCTCTACAAGAATAAAAAATTGAATGCAAAATGTAATTTTAACTTTTAGTTTAATACAGATATTTATGAATGTACTCAGAGGAGTTAAACCAACAGATAATGATAAACATCAAACTATAACTAAAGCAAAAAGGCTTTACACTACAATGAAGCAAAAATTGACTCAATCTTAAAATGTTGCTTTACTTAAATAAGTCAAAACCAAAAAAGTACCATTTTTGGCTTTTCTTCCTTTAGCGTAAAGAGGCGTTTCCACCAACCCACAGCTCTGCGTCGAGTTTTTACTAGATTGCTGCAAATTTCATGGAATCTCTGCTGTTGCTCAGTGGTCCTAGGAAAAGAATCTTCCCTTTTACTATAGGCAAATCTTAACAGTAAACAGAAATACACCATCCTCTCAAATTTCAGAAACTATCTTCTAAAGAAAATCTAAATAAAAACAACAATGATTCACCATTATCTCATAGAAAAAGTTCTTAAACCATTAAGACTCCTTTTGGGAATTCCCTGGTGGTCCAGTGGTTAGGACTCTGTGCTCTCACTGAAGAGGGCCTGGGTTCAAAACCTGGCCAGAGAACTATATCCCACAAGCTGCTCAGCATAGCAAAAAAGACTCCTTTCATAGCACAGGAATAAGTTTTAACATAAAGACACACGTGTGTGTACAAAGTAATGGCTATCTATGGTTCTAAAGCCAAATTTGGTCAACGATAGTAACAAAAACCTCATGACTACTATGAGCCATGCAGAAATCAGTATGAATTAACTTCTCTATTCCTATATTATTTTGCAGATCCCAATGAATCCTGGGTGGTGACCCATCAGAGTCCTTGAGGAAGATGTGAAGTTTCAACCAAACAGTTATATTTAAGCACTCGTCAGTAAGATAATAACTACTAGCATTCAAAGCACAATACCCTCCACTGGGCTTCATACATTTGAGGCCTAGGCAGCCACAAAGAGCTCAAATCCAAATTCCTTATACATTTAGTCCCATTGAGGGAAAATATAATCACAAACAAAACAGCAGTAAGAATACAAAAAGATCCTTCAAAAAGCCCTTTGTAGTTTATAGTGTATCTTGGGTTCTGATTTTTTAAAGAAATTTCGCCTTTGTACTGTCTTTGCTATACAGACATAATGGCCGCTATAAAAAGCCCTATGCTGGAGATGTGTTGCTTTCTCTCCTCTAGTCCTTGTCCCTATAAATCTGCAGTGACAGATACAGTAGAAGGGCTTCTACTGAGCCTTGGAACTTCTTATAAATAATCAGACCTTGTATGCTGCCCATTAGGCAACAGTGTTCTTCCTTCTTCATAAAGGTCAAAAAACAAAATCGCTCTGTAGGTAAGACTGAGCCACATACTGATTACCACGAAACTTCAAGAGCTTACTTCTGAAAATTTTTCTCCAGGAGTTATGAATTAGCAGATTAGAATGTTATCTGGCTAATAAAGTCAGGGTCTGAGGTCGATTCTGTTAAATTGTTACATTGCATAGTTACAAACTTGCCCCCCAAACAGCAGCACAATGAAAAACAATTCAAAGCACATTTGCTAACACTAACCATTGTGCTATGGCAGAAACATCTTTATTTCAATACAAAAATGCTTAATTATCCCATAACTTAAGCAAACCCTACATTTAAAATTCTTATTTTTATAGAATCATTTTATAATTTGCTATTATCAGGAGAACGAAAAACTACAGGCACAAGTAGACTACCAATCAAATTAAAATAAACAACCAAGGGAGAATAGCAGCTAGGAGAAAAAAATCCATTCCTATATCTAGTTTTGCTCACTATTTGGATCAAAAGAGAAATGCAACATTCCAGAAGGAAGTTAAAAAATACTTTAACAGGATCCACAGCCACTTATCTTGGGAACTCATTCAGAGTGGTATAAATGCAATCAACAACCCACTTATATATACAGCTTGAACATATTCTAAAGCACTTTTGCTAACCTCCACTGCACTACCTCAAGGTCTCAACGTGAAACACAAGATCAATCTTTTTCTTTTTTTTTTTTTTAAGTCTTTATTGAATTTGTCACAATATTGCTTCTGTTTTATGTTTTGGCCAGGAGGCATTAGCTCCCGACCAGGGATCGATCACGCACCCCCTGCACTGGAAGGTGAAGTCTTAACCACTGGACCACCAGGGAAGTCCCAAGATGAATCTTAAAAGTCAAAATATTTCACAGCACCCAGAAGAGTCTGCCTAATAGAAAAGTAGACATTCAATAAATAGTTGCTAAATGAACAGGCAAAAAAAAAAATCTACGTTACTGTTTTCATATTCATTCAAAAGTAATTGGTGAAATTAATATTATAATATCTTAAATATCAATGGAAAAAATGTAAAAGTAGACATACTACTTTTATGGAAAGCCCATTATGAGGTCTGCAATCCTTGATAAAACATTACCTAAAAAAGCCTCACTTCAATAAAAAGGTCTAGGAAGAAAAAAAAGTCAAAATAAATGCTAGAGTATAAAAGAACTATGGAGATATAAGTACTGGAAGTTTGTGATAAGAAATTCTTTACATCAAATGATAAATCTAACCCCTAGCCACCTGATGGTTAAGACAATTCTCTGTGCTTAATTACAACACGCTAGTCATAGCTACCTGGTGCAGTAACTTCTCAGAAATTAGACTGCCACATCATTATGCCACCTACCATTTATTGGAGCCAAAAATTCTAGGCGCTAGAATGGGAACAAGGTAGTCTGCCAAGCACAAAAACATAACAAAACAGGAAACACCCGACAGAACGGATGGATCTAGATAGTAGATAGTCCTGTTTAAAAAAAAAATTAATAAAGGTTAGAAAAACATAGACCTCATTAGTCCTAGCTGAAGATGTTTATTCTCCTAGTCCTCTGGTTCTCAAAGATGTTATTTGCCTTTTTTTATTCTAATTTTCTCACAAGTAGTTTTCTGGAGGCTTCATGACATCACAGCTGTAACGGTTAATGTAAACATGAAGAGCAAAGGCTCTTTGGGGTCCTCAACATTTTTTAGGAGTGTAAAGGGTCCTAAGACCAAAAAGTGTAAGCCACACATTTATTCAACTGCCTTGATTACTGAGTTTACAAAGTACTACAAATTCTGAAAACTAGGCAAACCGCTCTAAGCAAAGGCATTCTTTACAGATTCAGGCACTTCCATAAATGGAACCTGAGCCCTTATGAGTAGTTACAAGCACAATCTACAGAAATTTAATAGCTCACTTACAGAAACACCAAAGAAACCACACCCATGATGGCAGGTGGAAACCAGGCTCTTTCCCATCGGAGGACTTTATCTGCCATCAGCATCACTTCTCCCCATCCTTGCAGCTGCTCTTCCAGATTTGCAGTCTCCGCAGCCTACATATGAGTAACATTTAAAGCGATCATTCTACTAATCTCAACATTTCTGTGGCTCCTAGAGAGTTAAATTCTTCTAAGGCACCAGGTATGTAAAACAGCTCCTACAAATCACTATCTTAAACAAATTAGTTTCTCAGAAAAACGCAATTTTGAAACCAAAGACAGAAATCAATGGGGAAAAAAATATATCATTTAATGGTCACTTTCCAAGTCCAAGCACTGGGCTACTCTTTTACATGCATTATGTAACATAATCCTTATAGACCTCTTAAGATAGGGATAATCAGAGCCATTTTACAATTAAAGAAAGCGAGCTCAGAATGGACTTTCCCAAAGCCATGCACTACTAAGTGGCAGCACCCTGAGTATAAAATTGGATCACTTAAAGTTTCTCATTTCAGGTAGTTACAACTGGTCTGGTGTTTTGTCATTTCATTGATTTAGCCCCCTACTTCTGAATCCATTAGGAAAGCCTCTTCCTGAACAGCATTCAATTTCCAAAATAGCTCTTTGTGCATGAAATCATTTAGATGTTAGCATCATCTGCACAATTAAGGAAAACTACTGTGCTTTTACAAAATTATAAAAGGCATATTAAGCCCAATATATCTCAATAAAATGCTTCTTACACTTATCAGGACATTTTGGTTAGACTTTAAATTTGACCATCAGCTACAAGTAGACTTCTCAGATGAGCTAATGGGGCAAAAAGCCCTTAAGCTGATTTTGGTAGAGAAAAAAAACTTGGAACAGGAAACCCATGTGTCCTTATAACTGTTACCACAGGGAAACATGCAAATGACAGGAGACAGGGCAGCTTAATCTTGATAAAGATGTTATCTGTGCCACACTGACACTTAGGTGACCTCAATGTCTCTGACTTTATATACCGTGCTTAACATAGTTAAATAAGAGATTACCATGTGGCAGAAACTCTGCTGAATATATTATATGCTTATACTTTAATTACTCCTCCCAACCAGCTGAAAGGAAGGTGTCATTACTATCCTCATTTTACAAATGTGGAAACTGAGATACACAGAGGTTTACAGATCTGAATCCAGCAAATCCAAGGCCAAAGGCCTTGTTCTCCTTAAATTAAGTCACACTGCTCTGTGGAAAGAGCAGCCGAGCTCCAGGCCAGGATCTGTTGTTTCAATAGCTGGGTGAACTTGGGCAACGATCAACTCTTAAAAGGAACCTGGCTGGGGCTCACTAGGCTAACCATAGAAAAGCCGGGGGGTGTGCATGTAAGGGGGCAGAGGTCATGCATATCTAAAAACCAATGCAAAATGAAAATCACGCACAATCAAAACTGCCCCGCAAAGTCACTTAATTCGTTAGCACCTGAGCTCTTGGAAAATCAAAAGTCAAAATTAAATTATTTGGTTTCTCTATTCACTGTTGTTCTGGTGGTGAGTAGCATGCCTTTTCCTGGGGAAAGGCAACTGAGAAGATGGACGGATTTCTCTCGTTTTTACCTATATCCTGCGGGGGGACTCGTGCTGAGGTTAAAACTGTCTGCCTGTGATACAACCTTACTGCAGTTCCCTCCGACCCCTGCTTACTCTAAAATCGTCCTGGGACACCCCCCCACCCTCGCCCAGACTTACACGTTCCAGACAAACGCCAGAACCTGCCACTGTCCCTCCAGCTGGATCCTACCTCCAGTTCCCAGCGGCGAGCTTGCAGCCTCCCTGCCGCTTTAAAGCTGTGCCAGCTCTAAAAGAAATTCTCGGCAGCAGCCCTTTGACTCTCCACCCCTGCCCAAGTATTAGAGGAAAAGGGCGAACGGACATCCTGGTTAAGATTAAAGACGGGGAAACCCAGATACAGCTGGGGTCTGGGCCGCAAAAGCGCTCGACGAGCCCCTCGCGGCCCTCTGCCAAGGACTGCACCCCAGGCTGGTCACAGCCCCCCTTCTCCCGCTTCCTCCTCAACCCCTATTCGCGGTGAATGATCACGCGCCCTCCTCGCCCCGTCGTGCACCTTCCCCAGGGGGTGTTAGGAGTCGACACGACTAGTGACCGCCAAGCAGAGGTTACCCAAGAAGCCCAAAGGGCAGACGTCGTCGCCTGCACCTGGGAACGGAGAGGAGGGCCGGGCCCGCGGCGGGTGATAGGAACGAGGCCGCAGCGCACCGAAGTCCGGAGGCCCCGCTCGGTTCCCTCGCGACGAGGAGCTGGTACTCACCAGCAAGTTGGCGCTGCGATTATCTCCTTCCGCCATTGTTCCCGAGGTGCCCCCTCAGCGAGCGCAAAACGCCCCCAAAAGCCAGCCTCCCTCAGAGGCACTCACGACAACCCTAGCGAAAGGGCACGCCCAGCAGGTCGTTTATATAGGCCAGCTGCCTTTCCCGACAGAACCCGCGAAGCTCGCTCCTCATTGGGCAACTCGAGATCACGCTTAAGCGGACCGGACCAACCGCTGCTCAGCGCTTGTCTTGAAACCCAGATCAAAGGAGAGGGAGACTACGCCGGGGCCGAGGGGGCGGGGACACGGAATAACCAATCAGCACCCAGGAGATTGCTACGCCCCGCCCAGGCCTTTCGGAATCGGTCAACTGCCCCTGGCCGGGGCCTGGTATGGCCTTAGTATCCTCAGGGTGGGCCGCCATGGTGGCTCTCGGACTCTTCTGGGGGACCTCAAAGCAGCTAAGGTACCTCTCTGGAATTTAGTCAAGGAAATATGCCACCCAATATCAGGCGGAGGGCAGAGATGGGCATGTGACGCTAAACGCATTGTGATTAAGGAGGCTGGCTGGGATCTTCTTCCCGACCCAGACGGTGGCCTTGACCCTGGCTGTGGCCCTGGTCAGCCCGCCTTTCTTCTAATACCTGCTCTGGCAGCCCTAGCCAGGCCGCTAAGCAGCTTAGACCCAGATATGTGACTCGCGGACTCGTGCCCATCTCAGGAGGTTTTGAGTACAGGTGAAAGGGGCCATTTATGTAGATTTTCTGCGATTTTTCCTTCCCTACCTAATGGGAGTAAGGCCTTAGTTTGGTGGAGGGGCGGGGGCGGCGGAGAGGGTGTGGAAATCTGGGCATAGTTTAAGAACTTGTGAAAAATGCACCGACTTATAAAACTGGCTTATTTTCATGGGTTCTTTGGGGAAATTCTTTGTGGGGCACTTCACTTAAACTACGAGCTCCCCCTCCAAAAAGGAACTGGTTTTGACAGATCCTTTCTTATTAAGGTCATGCTAAGGAAAGATGTAAACCCTCTCATAAGAGTGGAATTTATTGCAATTTAAGAATTAGATGAACTATGTGAGAGAATTCTACATATTTCTCTCCAGGATTTCAAAATGCGTTAACACTTTTCATTACTCAATACAAACAAAATAATGCCAATGTTAACCTGGTTAGATGTCTTTCAGGAAAACTTACCGTAGCTTTTAACTTCCAGCCTTTTACCCTTTTATAGTCATTGATATTATGCCATCGAGTTTATTTTAAAAGCATTCCTTAAATTACTACCGGGTTCATAAGATTTCAGGGAAGACATAAAGAAATGTGAGCCAACACATGCTGCCCCTAAGAAAACCAGGGGGACCGGAGCACTGTGAATTTCATTAAAAGGTGTGAAATTTGCCATGGAAATTTGAAAAGAAATAAAGCATCTGTTCAGGTACAAACAGTTCAGGGGGGTAAAAAAAAAGCCTTTGCAAGGAAAGGGGACTGACTCTTCAATAAAATGCCACTTCAGGGAATGTTGGGGAAAAACAGGTTATGTAGGTAAAATGCAGCCAGTTGGACAGCCCATTTTGGGAGATTTGAAAGTTGTGACCTCTGAGGAGCAGGCCCTCCGCTACCTATTCCAAAGGAAATCAAAAGGTCCCAGTCAGTCGGCAGCCACACAGTGAGTGCATATACGGAGTGCTGAGCGCGAGATCTCGCCACAGGCACAGCAACACCCTCTTCCAAAGGACAGGGTGTGGGGTTATTAGACTTTAAAAACTGCCCCGTGTATTTTGGGAAATCAGTTTTTGCTACAGAATGTGCCTGGTTTTCACCCAAGTTCCCTATGTACAACTTCAGAAGAAAGACTTTTCAACACCAGCTTGTGAAATTGGGATAGGTGAAAAAAAACCTGAAGAAATGGCTTTCAAATAGCATGGGTTCTCCACAGAGTATTTGTTACTCAAGGAACATTTGCCCAGAATGATTTGCAATTTAACAGCCTAGGATCACTTCTATAAGTTCCTTAACTAAGCTTCCAATTGCCCTATTTAAAAAAAAAAAAAATACCCATGCTTAGTGTAGCTTTCTTTTTTTTGGGGGGGTATTACAAAGGCAGGATGTGAACTTTTGAAATATATCAGGTGGCTAAACAGTTAACATAAATCCTAACATAATCTAGCAGCAACAAATGCAATCTGATTTCCAGATATTAAAACAAGCTGGACATTGTTTTCCTTCAGAGCTTTCATACACCAGGGAATATACATGTCAATAATATTCTACAGGAGTTTTTAAAGAAATACAAAATTAAGCTTAATAAATTGTGCCTTAATACTAAGAACTTTCCCATTGAAGTAAAATTTCTACTGCTATTCAAAAATACTACTAGAACAGAGTGTAAAATACATTTTTTAGAATCAAGTTTTTAAACTTTTGTAGGTATTAATAATTAGCCTTGAAAAAAAAGCTCCCCATATTCCCAAATTAAGTTTTCTGGAAACTGCTTCAACAAATTCAGAGCTTAAATCCTACATCTTTTAACACTTTATTTTTTTGAAAAACAGGTATTTCATACAATCTTTGCCATGTTAATGCAAATATGCACAAAGTAGGCCATGTATTTTTGTTTTCCAAAAGTTGCATTATGAACACTTTCAGGAAGCTGGTGTGATTTATTCAACTTTTAACCTTAAATACAATCACAAAATTATAACCATCAGGAGGCATTACAACCTTTTGTACAGAGAAGCCACTCTATTTATACAGTGTTACTAGAACAAGGAAGATTCAGTTCAACTCAATTTGCTCTACATAATAAGGGTAAATTAACAAGTGAAGTGTGATGTTGCCATTGACATCACAGGTGGAAATATAAGGAAAATTTAAACCAAAAAATAATTGACACAGGAACTTCAAACAGGAGCTGAAACTTGGGTCAAAAAAAACAACAAAAAAAGCTGCTTCGAAAGACATAAAAACATTCTGCAAGTCTGCATTTCAGAACAACATTCAATTCCTTAAGTTTATCATCTTCAAAAGCCGAGCTAATTGTATGACACTTTTGCATTAGCACAACAGCTTCCCTAGTAAGCCCAAATTCCCATGGAAAGCAAGAGACTGAATGGTTCATGTTGTACAACTAACTCTTGAACCTATAAAGCTTCTCTCAATTGGAGTCCATTTGCCCTTTTGTAAATAAGAGATGGTGATACTCTTACCCAGGCATAAAAAAAAGCAGGAAAAGTGCAATAAACCCTTCCGGGTTCCTAATACAGTGAATTTCCTTCCCCAGTGTTTGGAAAATTTATAATGCTAGTTCTTCCCCATAGAAGGAATATTTCTAATACAACCCAAATAATGAAAAAATCTGTCACTTCTTTAAGTGACTCTTACCATTAACATAGTCTACCTCCTAGATTTAAGGGGAGGGAGAAAGTCCTAGCTCTAAATTACTGGCATTTTACAATCTCAAGATACAGAATGGAAGGTCATTGGTTTTCATATTTATCTGGTTTTATGTAAAACAAAGGTATTTAAATGTGCTAACAGAAAAGCGTTCACTGATTTTTGATGTATACGAACAGAAGCTAACAAGGCTAATTGTAGATGCTTTCTTTAATATGAAAAGAATTGGGAGAAAAGAAGAACCAGCTTCTTTGATTTTAGTACTGCCAAAACAAGTAAGCCCCCAGAGTAATCACAAATATGTGGAGGAAAATAGGCCAGGAAGACTTTTCAAAGTACTGCCTATATCACCCCAAATTTAAAAGGACCTAAGATTGCACATCAACTCTAATATTTGGCTGCACTTGCATTGCCCTGCTTGGGATTTTTTAATGGCTCTTTCCTTAAATTTCACACATCAGAACAACCACAGTTAAAAACAAAAACAATGCAGATAACATCAAACACTGGACAATATAAAGAACACTACATACTAAGTTCAGGTAATAGAGGCAAGTGTTAAGGGCAGAAGTGATGGAAGTTCTTTGTATTATAAACCCTCACCCTGAACCTGGGGTTTGGGCTCTAAGAAAGCAATTTAGGGAAGCAGATCAAGAGCTTGATTCTCAGTTCTCACACAGAAACCTCACATATCTCAAACTCACAAGTGTCAGACACAAAAGAATCTTAATAACTATCTAGCAAACTATGTGAAGAATTCACGACCAGAAATAATGAAATACTGCAAGACACACCAAAGAAACAGAGTAAAAGAGAAATACAGACAGCACCATAAACTACTAAGCCTCCACAGCTTTACAGATAAATCAACTAAAACTCAGGCAATTCTAGAAAATTAAAGACAGCAAAACACTTAAGATAAACTTCAGTTTCCAAGGGTCATAAGTTATTCTGTACCCCCTGAATCTTAGAGAGGGAAAAAGAGAGAGAGAGAGAGCACAAGAGAGACAGGGGAAGGGGGTGGGGCAGGAGGGAGAGAGAGCAAGAGGAAGGGGAAGGGGAAGGAGAGGGTGAGAGAGAAGGAGGGAGAGAAAGAGAGAAGCAGACCCCTGGTTTTCCACAGGTTATTTTTTGTATCATCAAAAATGCATGACTTCATAACCACAGCACTCTGAACTTTACATTATTTTACAAGATAATCACCAAAATATATCCCTGTCTTCTCAAACTGCTGTATCACCAAGGCCTTTGTACCTCTGATTAAATCTGACTGTTGAGTTCTCTTACAACAGGTCAAAATGATAAGGCTACTTGCCAAATGACTTCCCAGAAGAAGCCAAACTGTACATACTGGGGGTCTTGTTGTCCAGAGTGCAGTGAAGAGCAAGCTTTGAAGTCACCAGTTATTCCTATCTGCCCTACAACCAAACATGTATATGCCACACTATTCTCTGAGGGACCATTTTAAAGTAAAAGTGATGGACAATTTAGCAGAGACACATGTTTTTTATGTAAAGCTGTTTTGTTTTCACTAGGATAAGGTGCCAGGTACCTCTGAAGCCTGAAATTCACAGGCAATAAAATTAACCTATTTCATTTATCTTCTTTACCAAAGAAGAAGCAATTTCTGAATACTACCTATAGGGACAAACTAGTGTGAACTTGTTTTATCACTGTGATAAAAGTTTTT